TTACACGTTCATACATACATACATACATACATGGCGCATTGATTAAATATTTTGTACGAGCATGGCGTATGAGTAACATTCTTCCCTGCTCGTATTTCATACCAAAAAAGTCATTGCGCATTTTCATTTTATCATTCAAAAACTTTCCATCCATCCATCGATTTTGTTCGCAAAAAGCTTAATTTAAAAACAAATTTTTCATTTTTAAATTTGAATTTTATTTCATTCGCAATGCAAACTTAAAATGCAAATATACAGGTATAGCGATCAGTAATCTACGACCCAAAGTTAGGTTTACGTATATGGTAATTTTTTGTGTCCTTACAGTGTTGTTTATTAGTAAAAAAAAAAAAAAAAATATGCTGCAATATGAATGAAATTTCATTATCAGTAAATATTTACGGATTATTGCTATTTTTTGAGTAATCGGCAAAATTTTACTGCTAATCCAAATTAAATTTCATTATCAGTTAAATTTTATTATTACTGCTATTATACTACTACTGTTAAGTGCCAATTTATGGTATTTAGGAACTAATTAGTAGCAAACACTCAAGTGGTGGATTAGGGCATTCGATTATTCGCCATTTTTCCTTTACCGGTTTTCGTTGGATTTTAACCCAAAACACCCCCTTAAACAAATAAACATACTTAGAAGATATCCATTATTATTATTTGATTAAATATAACATAAACAAATTCATTCGGTTGGGTGTCGAACATTTTTGACATTAAAAAAATTGAACACATTTTTTTTAACGATTTGCAGGTGTTCTTTAACAAAACCCGCGTAAATCCGAGTTACCAACTTTGTGCAGTATTAAAAAAATTCAACAAACTTTCCTACAAATTTAGAGCTTTTTTAAAAATTCTAAAAAGTCGATCGCAATTTTTAGCCATTTTAAACTAGTACTTTATTCCATTAGAATTCAATGGGCTACAAAACTGCAAACTCAGAATCTAATTAAAAACTCGAAATTTTTTCGAAAATTCGTTGCATTACTTTTATTTTTTTTTTTTGAATGCATACATTTTTAAGGCAGTGTCCCTCGATTGGTACATTTGTACAGACTTGTGCATTTTTATATTGGGCTATTGGTACAAAAAAAAAAAAAAAAATTGGGAAATTTTTTGTTTTTTAGTCAAAAGCTTGGTACAATACAGCAATCTTGTATTAAAAAATTTTAACAAAATATTTTTCGTGATATTTGGGTATTCACGCAATTGATATACGATTTGCACCGAATTTCGGCGAATTCCGAAACTTGTGATACTGCCTTTAAACTTGTACTTATACGGATGTTGGTAAAGAATGAACTATGAAAAACTAACCAAAATTAAATAACAACAAAAGTTTAGATTTTAAAACTTGCCAAAATTTGGTGCGGCTATAATTTTTTCGACTACTGTACATAAGCACTAGAAATTTTATATTGCTAATTTCCGACTGATCGCATACTCAATATGTGTCAGTATTAAGTCTAAGAAATCAGTCTGTTAATCGCCGTTAACGGGATTAGACGAAAAAATATTTTCTGGCCAAAACGGGGGAAAAATTGCAAACGAAGTGAATTCGAGTACACCTTTTGCGAGTTTTGCGATTCATGTGAAAAAAGATCGCGATTTAACTAGTAAAACGAGCAACTAGGGAATGAAGAATTAACAAAATCCGTACATTAAAGCATATGCATGTACATGTAAAGTGAATAAAACATCTTGTACTAAGCTATACAGGACCTCCGTTCGCAGCATCGAACAACATGACCGAAGAAAATGGTACATTGAAGATCTATATACTATATCTACATTACATGCATACGTATCTAATTAGCACTAAGTAGTCAGACGCGTTTTACACGGTTCAAGTAAGTCAAGTGAATTAAATTCTGCTTGCTAGTTGATGAGAGGGGCTAAGTAGAAAAGGGAAGAGTACACATGCATCCGCAACCGTGAAGTCGTTTCAAGTTTCTTGCCCTGCTTTTCACGTTTTCGTTGTTTCCAATTTAAAGAACCAAAAACTTGAATTAAAAAAACCTAAAGCATGTAAAAGCAAATACAAAACACAAAAGAGGACGAACAAGAATTATTTTCAAATACTTGTTTATACCGTGAAGTTATTGCAAAAGACTGACGGAATAGTCAACGGAGGATATTCCGGCCTTACCCCAACTGTGCGAACACCAAAAGCCATTTAAGTCGTGGCTGGAACGCTGTGGATACACATAGGAGACATACTACAGAAGCGTTAATTAAATTCAAAACCCTTGCTTTGCCAGCAGGTGATAAACAGTTACAGATAGCTCTGTTTACGGACGAGGAAATTTTGGCTTTACTAGCTTGTGGATGGCTCGTTCGTTAAACGGGACGATGAGGTGTATGATCTGTCATTGCGACGGCCAAATGGAGGCCATTTCGAATATGGTGTCCTACATTCCTTAACCATCGGCGTGTACGATAAGTAAAAAAAGTCTTAAAAATATTAACTCCTTTTAATTGTGTTTGCCATATACACTGTACCAAGGTATTTGCTAGTATCTATTAAATGAAAATAAAAACAACTTACTACCGTCCACACATTAAGCGCCAAAGACTCCCAGTGATTATCTAAAAAATACTCATATTCATACAAATTTTATGAAGCGTCAAAAGATAACGACGCGCTAGCGCTGAGCTAATAGATTTTTCATTTTTACAGGGTGAATAACTCAGTGAGAGGGGAGACCAGTATTTGCATGTATGTATTTATAAAAAAAAATATTTATTGGTTCAAAAATGGTGGGTAGGCACTGTGGCCAATGGCAAAGTTCGTTTGCCACCTCTGCATGGTTGTAAGTCATGCAGAGTCCGCAAAATGCTCCGGAAGCAGTGTCCGGAGGATGCATCCGACTAGGCAGAGCATGCTTTGAAGTGCCATCTAATTAGAACTTAAGAAAGTTCAATTACATGGCAGTTGAGAAGTGCATGTGCAAAAATTTCCTAAATTGCATAAAGGAAATTTTTGCACATGCAGCAGTACATAGCACGTATTTAGGCGCCTGGTGTTAGCAGACGCGCCTAAACACAGGGCATTGTACATGTTGATGTTGGGTGGGTGCGAAAAAAGGTCACCCCAACGTTTGCAAGTATATTGGTAAAAATATATATTTGTGACATTGAATATTCGTAGGAGTGAAAGTTGGTTTCAAGAAGTTGGCGATTGTGAAAACCCCTGAGTCCAACGAGCGACTAGTCTCGAAGTGTTTAAAAAAATAGACTCCCTGCAAAAACTCGGCATATCTATTTTTGCTGTGCAAGCATTACGCCTTGCTTTCGCAAAGCTCTGGAGTGTCGGTCGAGAGATTTAAGGGTCGAGTCCTAGAGCAGGGGGCTTTTTTTGTAATTTTTTACTTATTTTTTTGTGTCTTTATTGTAATTTTTAAATTGTATTTTAAAAAGAAAAAAATAACTCATTTATTTTTTATGGCATTTGAGTATTTAGGTTTTTGCCTATGAAATTAATTTTACAATTTGTAATTTATATTTGAATTAAAATAACTTATTTATTTTGGAACGAATTTCCGTCATCCCTTGTCAAGTTTGGTTTGCAGACAAACCGCTTTCGGCATTGTGCCATCTTCAGTGTAATTTTTCGAACGAAACAAGGGATGACGGGAATTCGTTCCAAAATAAATCATCTTACCACCCTGTCGGAAAAATCAACCAACACCAACACATAAAATAATTTACTTACCTTAAATTAAGGAAAAACTTCGCAAATAGAGCAAATTTTTCGTAATATTAAAGAAAAACAATTTTTTCTTCTAAATGCTTATTACTGAGTGTATTAGGGCGTAAAATAAAGTCAAAAGTTCTACAATGGTTTCTTAAAATTTTAACCAAACCAGTGTTTAGCAGATATGGACACCAGGAGCACCCTTTCTTCGTTTAACCTACTTCTTTTATTCGGCAAAGTTAAATTTACAGCAGAAGCAAGCCTTTTGGACGATACTGAGGAAGGGATATTAGGCACAGTTACGTTCACAACGAATTAGATTGATTTCATAGAATCCTAAAAAAAATCGAATTTGATACAAACTCGATACTCGGAAATAAATATCGAATGTTGGTATTTCGAGATTAAAAGTATCGTATTTCTCCAAAATTTTTTGGAAACAATTTTAATGTTTTCTTACACCGATATTTTTTTCCAAGCCTAGGTTTTCCTTTCAAGATTGGATTTGAATTTTAGATTCAGGTACTTCTCACACTTTGATACTAGTGTCAGCAAAGGGTGAGAGAATATTCGATTGGTTATACATCAGTTGTAACTGCTTAGAATCCCGGCAAGACCTACCTGACTGAACCAACAATCAATCGAAAAATCAAACGAAATGTCAAATGATGAGAGTGGGAGGGATAGGAAATCACATGTATTGATAAGAATAATATACGGATGGTAATTTTTTTGCCCGCCATCCTAATAAAAATTACTACATCGATCTTCTAACGAATAACACCAAATTCTGTCAGAAAGGCTGTTTCACATGATTTGCATAAGTTGAGTGTATTTAAAAAACAAAAATGCACATACATAGAGACAGGTAAACTTCACTCAATTGGGATCTGGTTTGACCAATAATTGTTAACCGAATTGAATATCTTTTTATAGGTTTAGATACACGCAAGCGAGTCCCGGATTTTTAAATATCCTACTCACAAACATTTTACAGGAAAAATATTATGTACCCCAATAAGGACTAGGACAAACAATTGTTCCCAGTTGAAGGCATTTTAGTAAAATTAAAAGAAAAAAATACCACTACCTAATTTGTACACATCGTCGTTTAAAGTAAAAAACCGCGTATCAAGATAATGCAAAACTTCGTTGGTGAGGATGACCAAATTTTACAGGAGAATGTAAAAGCTGTCTGATTTGAAAACAGTTCTCTCGTTTATCTCTAATAATTTTTATTTTCTTATATCTAAATACATATATATATTTAAATATGAATGAATAAGGCATGCTGCCAGAAGTTTCCGGTGAGCAAATATATTTTCTGGCACATATATCAGTTGCGAGGTATTTTATCAAAATAAAATTTTTTCACGCGAAAATATTTTCCTCCTATAAAAGTCTTTGAAATATATAGCCTGCTAAGTTTTTAATTTAAATTCCATTACAGATAAAAAGCCAACCACCGGCGAGGTTAAGATATCAGATTCTGAATCTATAGCCAAAGGCAAATCTACGGAGGATGGCTTCTCTGAGGCTAAACTCGTGTCTGAAGTTTCAGCAGAACGAAAAGACAAGAAGGAAGCAGAAGGAGAGCAAAATATCGAACCATTATCAAATGTGACGGAAGCAGAGGGCCAAGTTAAGGTAAATCATTTCGGCTCGAATTGTGAGTTATAGTTTTAATGCCAGACTTTGAACAAAAAGTTCTGCTCTTACCTGGGATAAGATTATGTTTTCTTTCACTGAAATTAAAATTTCGTAGCATTACGTGCTCATTTCTCAAAATATTGCCCTCCAACTAATCAAAAGTGCAATACTCTCTACTAATATAGCCGTTTTGCAGGACAAAAAGTAACCTAGTCCAAATATTACAGTGCAAAAAAAAATTTCAATAGTAAAACCTCGTAAGTTTGTCATTAACTCGTTTTACTTGTGATATGTTTAAATAAAACATGTGAATTTTAGTGGAAATATTTTAGCCGTTTTTAGCCGCTTTTTTGGCCAATTTAGCCGGTCAGACCAAACAGTTCTGAAAATAATAATGTCACTTGTGTAACTACTAGAGTACAACTTCACAACAAGCTTTTCAGGCGTTCGGCGCTTTTTATAACTCAGCCATTGCTGAAAGCCCTGAAAGCGCTGACCACCTGAAGAGCTTGCTGCTCATTAAATAATGATTAAATGCTGATTTTAATTATTTTACTTACATACATTGATTTACAACACAATAATTTTATAACATACAACATCGATTTGTTATAAATTTCTTTCTAGAAGCGTCCTTATCCAAAAGCGGTCTCCTTTATCACCGGCAATGAGCTTTGCCAGAGTTTCTACATCTATGGCCAGCGTAGTAAGTGTTAATCAGCAAAAAATTTACAACAAGTGCTTTCACTCAACTTTAAATTATTCAATGATTACCCCGTCCCTTTCGCAGCCATTCTCGTCCTGTACCTGACCCATCAACTCCTCTATAGTGACGACGACGCCACTGCCATCTACCACATCTGTATCATGCTTACTTACTTCCTCTGCCTGTTTGGTGCAATCATCTCTGACAGCTGGCTTGGAAAATTCAAAACGATCTCTTATCTCTCGCTTGTCTATGTTGTCGGGGCAGCAGTGCTTGCTGTCGGTGCTGTGCCTCCGCTAAATTTGCCCGCCAGGACGATTACATTCATCGGTCTGGCGTTAATAGCGCTGGGCTCGGGCGGCATAAGACCGTGCGAATCTGCTTTTGGTGGTGACCAGTTCAAGCTACCCGAACAAGTGAAGCAATTGACGATATTCTTCTCGCACTTATACTTTTCAAGAAATGTTGGTGCACTGACTGCGACCATAGTAACACCTATTCTGCGTGAAAATGTTCAATGCTTCGGCGAACAGGAATGCTATTTATTGGCTTTTGGCGCACCGGCTATCCTCATGGCTGTCTCGTTATGTGAGTACTTAAACACTAAAGAGAAAAATTTACGAATCTTATGCAAACTTTCACTCATATTTTGTAGTTATTTTCGTACTTGGCCGCCCATTATATAAAATTATCCCACCAGCGGGCAATGTGGTGGTGTTGGTCAGCAAAACTATTGGTGTAGGCAGCCTGAAAAGCTAAACAAATTGAAAAAGTACTAAAAAGATTATTCCAAACAGAACGCCATTGCTACAAAATGGAAGGAGAAGAAGACCAATCCTCGTGAACACTGGTTGGACTATGCGGATAAGAAGTATGACCGTCAATTGATTGAAGATGTGAAAGTGCTGATGCGTGTTTTGGTACTCTATCTGCCGCTGCCTGTATTCTGGGCGCTTTTCGATCAGCAGGGCTCACGTTGGACTATCCAGGCAACCCGGATGGATGGCGACATGGGCTCATGGGATATCAAACCCGATCAAATGCAAATCTTAAATCGCGTCTTGGTTTTGCTATTCATACCACTTTGTGAACTTGCATTCTATCCTTTAATTGGCCTCGTCGGTATTCGTCGTCCTTTACAAAAGCTGACTTTGGGTGGAATATTCGCCGGCATAGCTTTCATTGCTTCCGGCTTGCTCGAACTACAATTAGAGGTGAGTCAACTGCCATCTAAGTGGTTTGGTGACAGATAACAGTTAACTCCCATTCGCAATTCAACTTTAGATATTCATTATCTTAAGACTTTAAGGACGGCAGCTAACCCTCAACTTTTATACTGAAAATAAGAAGCTATCTCCAGTGTTATGTCCCCACTCTTAATACAGCCTTTAGTGTTCAGAAGAAAAATAATACAACATTTTCATTTGCAGAAAACTTATCCCGTCTTGCCCAGCGCCGGAAATGCTCAGCTTCGTGTTTACAATGGCGAATTGTGCGACTATTCCATTACCACCAATTTGACGAATTTCAACTTTGATGTGGCCTCACTCAATATGTACAAGAACAGCACAGACATCGGCTCGGAAGGTTTCCTATACGTAAGATTCGATGTTACCAGCAAAAGTGCGAGTTGTGATTCATTCGCCAGCCAAACTTTTATTTTCAACTCCTCAACCAGCCACTATTTGTTTTTGAACTCAAACAACACTGCACAACCTCTGGTCTGGGGAGTGGACACAATCAGTAAACCCAGTCGGGGCTATCCGCTAGGACGTACATTAGCGAATGTAGAGCCGAGTCGCCAAATTGATTGGAAAAATAAAAAAGGCGCAATCCAGCACACCGAGCCAGCCAACTTGCGAAACATAACGGAACTAAAGTCGGGCACTTATCAAATATTAGTTGATAATGTTGAGATTGTCAGTACATATCTCAAAGTTGGTGGCATTTACACGATTTTAATAAACGAAGATTCATCAGGACAATACCGAAATAATGTCATAGTTGTAACGGAGCCCAATTCGATATCCATTTTCTGGTTGATTCCGCAATACGTTATTATGACCCTCGGTGAGGTGATGTTCTCCGTGACTGGCCTGGAGTTTTCATATGCACAGGCGCCACTGACAATGAAATCAGTATTGCAAGCTTGCTGGCTACTTACGGTGGCTTTCGGAAATTTAATCGTCGTAATTATCGCGGAACTATCGCTCTTCGATTCACAGGCGGATGAGTTCTTCCTCTTTGCCGGCCTTATGTTTGTTGATATGATTATTTTCATATTCGTGGCTTATCGGTACAAGCCGAACTCGGTAGCGCCGATTAACGAAAGCGAGCTGTGCACGCCACCAGAAAAAAACGAAAAGGATGGCATTGATAATGTGGCCAAGGCGATTGATGATTAGATACGAAGTTGAAATAAAGATTGATTTCTAATTTAATGAAAAAATAAGTGTGTAATTTGTAGTGAACTTTGATGTTAATTAATAACACTGGATCACAGATTTTAATTTTGATTTTGTTCTCCAGACGCCATTCCGAAAATCGAGTTAATTTTTTTTTGTATAGATACATTATCGAGATATTTGCCGTTTCGCGTTATTCAGCTTAAAAAAAGAGGGGATCTACTTAACCAGGTATATCTTGCGATCCAATGAAATAATCGTAAAACGAGATACTGCAAATGAAAGAAAATAAAATTCTCCATGAACCGTATATACAGCACTTTTCGATAGCCCTGACAGAATTTTTCAGAAACTATCAGGGCAATCGAAAAGTGATGTATATAAGCTTTCTGGAGAATTTTATTTCCCGTATCTCGTATTACGATTATTCAATTGGTTCGTAGGATATACGTGATTAAGCGCAACCACTATTTTTTTTAATTGCAAATATCTCAAAAAGTTATCCATAGAAAAAAAAATTCTCTCGATTTTCGGAATCACCGAGCAATTTCCTACTTAATCAGTTTGTAAGTTAACGTATCATAGTTAATAAAAAAGTATTACAATAACTACTGTAAACTTAAACAATAAATGAAGGGTGTAAATGATATACTTTTGGTAACGGAAGCTGAGGTAATGTTGCTAAAAACTTACATATATATGTATGTACGATTCACTTGGAAACGGCTAGCAAAGTAGCAGCCGCTTTTAATTTGTATTACCCTGTTTATACCGACACATAAAGCGCCATGACCCAGTTCCCTGTGATTCGAAACGGAAGAATAAACCAATTTTTAATACGTTCAGAAACTTAAAATTGTATTGACTCGAATTTGTTACCAAATCGCTTTTTTATTTCTGACATCGGTTAGAAAATAGGTATAAACACATCATTCAGTTGGCGCGAAGTGAGAACAGGTTGCTTTTATTTATAGAGTCCGTATTAAATTTGAATTATTATTATAAAAAAATTAGAATTCTTCTTCGATTCCTTTTGGGTCCACCGCGAAAATTAATTATTAAAGAAATATAAGAATAAAAATAACTAATTTTGTTTACCTTTGAATACGGTTTCAGCGAGGGCGCAATAACGCCACAGTTATAAACGCTTGAAAGAAATATGTGTTGAATCAAATCGATTTTTTGTTAACGCGGTTCTTGCCTAGGTATAAACAAGGTGTATGTCCATTTTATAGTTCTAGATGCGAATGATCTTTTATCTGTTTATTCAACAGCGATTCTCTTTATTTAATTATTCTTAAATTCTAATAAAACTAACATATTATCCCGTATGGAATTTTATTTGTGTTTTTAAAGGGAATTTTATTACAACCTTTTTTCGTTACCATTTAAAATTACATTTCTGAATTCTGGAAATTATTTTATAAAATAATTATACTTTTAAGTTGCTAGACCAAAGTTCATCATCGTAGCCATCCGAGGGACTGCTCCAATAATATATTGAATATGAATAGTATATATTTTACCAAAAAATTTACTTATAAAATCACAATTATTGCAAATTATCGCTCAGATTTTCCAATGAATTTGAAACGAAAAGTCAAACTTAAAGCGAAATAAAGAAACAGGATACCTACGCATACTTATTTCACAAAATTTTCTGCTTCATTTGTTGCTCTATTTTGCCCAGAAATGAAATTGGAATAAATGGAGTAGGCATTACTCTGACCATTAGCGCACACAAGGGGTGGGTTTTGGGGTTCAAACCCCCCCTAAAGCTAATAACCTCAAATACAATCTGTATCTTAAAGCTAAGAATCCAGCTCTCAAAGGAATTATAAGAAATATTTATTATAATTTCTGTTGCTTGAAAACGCGCTTTGCTTTTGCTGTAAATTTTCATGAGGGAATAAATATACGAGCATTTTTTTCTTGAGAGCTGCAAACTGATTTAAGAAATTTTGGTAGAAGAAAATTTCTTTCCCATTTCTCGTCCGTCGCTTTATATGAATTTTTCGTTTTTCTTGAGAGTTCAGTTAATTTTTTCGGTATTTGAAATATTAAAAAAATTTAGCAATCGTGAAAAATCACCATCTCTATCGAAAATCAGAGATCGAAAAAATGAACATAGAAGTGCAAAAATTCATGGAATCAATAAATTTATTTTTACTGACTCTTTTTTAAAATTTTTTATTAGATACTTTTGAAAGTTGAGCGCATCTTGAGTTTATAGAACTTTTTATTAAACAAGTAGTTTTTAAGGAAAGAACACAACCGACTTCAATTCTCATATTCAAATTTAGGGGTACCGTTAATTTCTTCATGATCCAATCATCGGATCTCTAAAACAAATTACGGGACGAACCTTGAGGTACTATCTTTCTAATAAAAAAAGGATTATTGAAAACGGTTCACGTGGTCCAAAGTTATGTATTACGGCGAGATGATAACCTCCCTTTTTTTGAAGTCGGTTAAAAGCGTTTGAGTTCTGTTAATCTGTAAATAAAGTGCAGTTTATGAATTTTAAAACGTTTATTTATTTATTACATACTGTACATAAAACTTGCATAAATGTATATTAAAGAGCGTATTATCTGAAGCAAATTTTCAGTATTTTCCGGTGATATATCTTCAGAAATATAAACCCCCCCCTAAAATATATTCCTGGGTGCGCCCCTGACTGTGACGCTGGTATGCCGAAATTGCCAAAATTAAAACAACCACCCCCTAAGTGACAACATTATTATTTTTTCACCATGGTAAAAAATATATGTAAAAAAATGATTCAAAATTCATAAATTGTTTTCCAATTTGACATTATAGGCTGGTTCTTATGAGAGCAATGTTAAATTAAATAACACTTTGTTAAATACATTTTGGTTAGGCATAAGGGTACTTGACATTACAAATTTGCCCGAAAATTTTAGGAGTTACATTTGATAGCTTGTCATCCTTCTCCGCGCACACAATAGCAATCGTCAACCAGGTACATAGCCACAATGCTCTCATATCGCTTTTCGAGAGCACTTGCGGCAAAGGACAGGAAACATTGATGGTAACATGCATACACAATGATTAGCTGTTCTTCAATAAACTATGCTGAGCCCTATTTTAACTAGTTTTCTGTGGTCTACAGTTACTAAACGGGTGCAGCAGACAAAAATTCATACCTGCCAGGACGCCGCACTTTTAAACTGCGACTGTCCACTCTCGCTGTGTGAATGCCGTCAGCGGAGACCAGCCAGAAAACATTGCAGGAGCAGAAATCGAGTAGCCCCGTGGACTCCGGTAGTAGCAGCAGAACAGTGGATTTAATTTTTTTTTTAATTTTTTGGTCTCTAAAATCTAAAATATTGTTATTTTGTCAAAACCTAACTAGCTAAAAAGAATGTAGTACCACAGCCACAAGCTATTTCGCTAGCTAGATCAGAAATAATACTCCATAACCACAGTTACATAACATAGGCAGTTTAGAGTATTTAGAATATTTTAACTTTTGACAGCTCTTAAATTTACCAAGCAAGAAATTTGCGCAAATTTTTATTTTTATTTTTTTCAATTAAAATTTTGTATACATATGTGCGTGTATTTTTGTACACGCTAGACCCAGCCACACAGAAAGCGGTCTGTAGCGGCGGGAAACGATATCCGACAGAGGCGGTCAGGCGGCCCAGTTGTATTATGTATTCAGTTTCGCATCATCTCTGTCACACAGAACGCGGTCTACCGTCTCCCGCTAGTCTTTGCTGCAACTATAGATGGACCAAGCTCGTGATTTTCTACGTGTCATGTTTTGTCACACTTTTTCACGCATGAGCGTGAGCGGTTTTGGGAGAAAAATCACGTATATTTTTATAAACAAATAATTAAAATTAAAAAACATTAAAAAATTATGTAGTACGTGCATCCCTTGCTAGGCATTTGACCAAGCTTTTGTAATCTTTTGAGTATTCGATTTATTTTACATATATCCATACCAAGTTCCAGTACTTTACCATGAACACTTATGAAAATTTCGGTTTGTATGGGAGGTGCCACGCTCCCTTTACATGTCGAAATTTTACCCTATAACCATCCTTGGGACGGGTGCGGCAGGTGTCCTAAATTTCCAAAAAAATCGGTTCAGCCGTTCTCGAGCTTTGCGAACACAAAAAAAAACAACGGCTTTCAAAATATATATTAGTATAAATACAAGGTGCGAAAATCATGGAAAATATTCTGCCTTAATTGCTTTATGTTCAGGCCTTAAAAGGTTAAGCTTATTTGTGGTTTTATTGATTCTCTTTAAACAAAAAAAAAAAGGCCGTGGAAACTGATTTACTCGCTGTGGGTTTCTGAAAGCGTCAATGAATCGAAAGATTTACGTACTTGTAGAAGAGTACGCTTTACGTGGTAAATTTGAAAATTGATTGTAGAGGTCCTCGAAATATTTACGAAATTTCGATATTTGCACAAGTTTTGGAATCCATATTAGGGAAACATTTCTGGCGGAAATATTAGAATGTCGTTGTATTGATTAAAGATCATATACATATACATATGTATGTATTTTTAGCATACGCGATACTAGTCAATACTGGTTCACCGTATATAGCTAATTATAAATCAAACCTTATCATGCTTTATTGACACAGTTTTTTAATTTGAAATAATCGATTTTTAATTTTTAGGCGATTCTTATGATAGGTGCTATACGCTCTTCACAATGCAATAAGCCGCAGCTATATAGCAGCATTCACTTCAAAGACGAAAGTGTTATCACCCTTCAAAAAGTGTTCACACACCCAGTTTCTCAAAAAAAAAGCTTATAATCCCTTTTGAGCTTTATAGTGCTTTTTGCAGCCAATTACAGCAAACTACTGCTTTATTTTTTTTCCTTCAAAAAGGTACATAAACGATCTTTCAACGATTCGAGCCCATAATCTCAAAAACAAAGAATTTTGAATTACATAACTCACTTTTGAAGAATGAGTGTCATAAGCATGCGCGTACCTATGTAG